CATGGGTTACAAGACAAGGTCACCTTAGTCGGTCGGAAAATGAGCTCCCCAGGAGATCAGTTGGGCTTCAGCGAATGACACATGAGACAACATGTCGAGTGGCATGCTAGAACCTTAAAGTGGTGGCCATGAGCAATCCATCCTCCTCCCTATCAATCTGATTCGAAGGTGGAACCAAGCAGATCGACGAGCAACATGGACCACAACAATCATAGCATATGAGATGGATGGTTGTCAGTCCCCTAATCGTTAAGGTTGTATTTCTTTTTATATATCTATGTTGATGCTAACTTGATGGTACATGCTTGTTTTTTACTGGTAACTCATTGCTAAGATTTACAACAAATCTTTTTAGTTTTAATATTTTCAAAATTCTAAATATCATTTACATTTTGCATAATGTACACTTTCTTTGCATGTGTTCTCTAACTTTATCATTGATTTACAATCCTACAATCTATTGATGATTATCACTCTATTGATAAAGTTGGAGAATGCTTGCGTGAAAGTGATGATCAAGAAGTTGTGTATGAGGTTTTCAAAGAATAACATCTAAAAACTAAATAATATGTGGCAAATTTTGCTAATGAGATGTAAATGAAGATCGAGTATTTACATGAATTGCTTTATCTGTCATCTTTAAATGATGTCAAGTAATATGTCGAATTGCTTCATTATTACACATAATCATTATTGCACTAACATGTATTATATATAATAAAAGCGTGCATTTATTTTTTGAAATGTTATGCAATTACGTTATTAATATCAACTACAACATTATAATTTTTGTTGCAATATGAGTATCAAAATATCTTGTTAGAGCTACGAGTTGCATATGAATTCACCCTAACTTATATTTGTGAAAAAAATCGATCAATCCAAGTATCAAAACTAATAATATTAAATAAACTGAAGTGAAAAATGTTACATATGTTATGCTAAGATAGTTCAAAATATACCGTAAAATTGATTTGATGACTTCCAGTGAGTGGTGAATTTACCGCAACTCACATTAATAATGATAACTCCCGCAAATTTCTATCATTAGAAGCTACTAAGCACACAATAAAAAATTACGTGGAGGTTAAGGCTTTACCCACTGAGGACATCAACATTATTTTTACTTCACATCAGCCTATGGATCAACCCGAAAGGGTGACAAATTTTTAGGTTTTAAAATTATATATATGTTAGCTATAGTTAATTTCTTTGCAATTAGATATTAAAGTGTTAGTTAATAAATTAATTATTGAACGAACCGCCCAACTCCACAGTTATTAAGCATGTAAAACATTGAATGCTCTAACATACCTAACAAAGCAATGGTTGATTACAATTCATGTCGGCCCTTCTACTTATCACACTCATTTCAACCTTATGTTAGTGGAAATATAGAGCCTTTCGTACGAGAACCAACTCCCGGAGCAAGTATAAATGTTAACAAAGACATGTATGAAATTATGAATTGTGGCGCAAGTGAAGACTTAAGTTGATCGGAAATGTGCTATCAACATGGTGTACAAAAAAGTGATGAATAATGTACGTTCAATAGGCACATGACTGAAATAAAAAATATTAACAAAGATGAGTTTGATTTGCTCATAGAGCACGCTATTACAACATGATCATTAGTACATGATGAAGAATAGATTTGATACTATGACCACAAATGCAACTAAATGTTTAATGAGGTTTAAGACGTGCTTGAAGCCTCCCGATTTAAGGCTAAATTTGTTCAATTTATCATAATCAATTACATTATTTCTGAGACGTTCTAATAACATAGTGGACTGAAACAACTAACACAATGTTTGTTTCCTGCATGAAGTTTTACAAAGATCTAAACAAGAAGACCACAAATCTCAACAACCTATTTGTATTAAAATACATAAGTATCAAGCTTTTGATATGTGGTGCACGACAATTCAGGTGGATATTATCTCATCAGAAACATGTTTGTACACTCATGAGAGGCCGTAAATATATCATGTTCAATGTGTGCATCCACCGATAACCTTAGGGACTAAAAAATTGAAGAATAAACCTTTCATCCCAAAATATTTCATACTAAAATTTTATAGACTGACTTACGAATTGTTATTTCATGTGATACTTAGAGGAAAGGATGGTAATCACAGGATCATCAACAAGGTATCATACATTTAATCCCTCCTCTATTTAGAAGACGTGGTATATCAAAAACTAGTAGGATTAGAAATAAAATGGACGAAACTAGAATAAGAAACACACGACTATGTAGTATTTGTAAGAATAGTAGTCACAATATGACAATGTGCTCCAATAACCCAAATTCCAGAAGGAATTATAACCGAATTAGTATCAACACATTTTTCTATAAAACTTATGATTTTTTCTCATTATTATACATGGATTTCTATGGCAACATGTATAGGAGCTCGCCGTCTTCGTAGACATTGTGTGATCAAAGAAGAAATTGACCCATCACAAGCATAGGCACCTCCGAGCATAGCTTCGATATAAGGATCTCACAGAGTAGCAAACCTCAACCATGTAATGTATTTATAACTTCTTCTTAATAGAGTTGAAATATAAATTTAATAATAACATATTTTTTTTAAATTTTCTATAGAGCATAATACGTGAAACTATTAGTTATGTACGGAAGGCAGGAGAGTGACCAATCAATTGCCTTCAATTTATTTAAGCATTACAGGTTGTAGGCTTCGATTCTGTTCGACACTTACAATTTATCTGGCTTGTCCTCACTTAATAACTGTAATGGTGGAACAATAATGTCTTTTGACTAATACTTCTCATTTATCAGTTGGTAAGATGAGTACATATAAAACCATAAATATTGTTGTTATTTATAATTATTCATATAATAAGTAAATTTTATTATTTTATAGGTGAGATGACTATCATGTTGTTGAATGCATGTACACATTCTTTTTAACATTAGGGTGGATGGTGATTCCCTTATTGAGCCTACAGACATTGGCCTTTAGCTGCACTGATCGAGTTGGTCGGAAGATTGCGATGACTTATTAGTTAGCCATCCAGAAGTAGATGTGCCAGTTCATCAACCTGGAGAAAAAGATGCCGTGACAAAATTTCATATAGGCTACTCCTAATCCCACACTACTGTAAATCTTCATTGGCTTATATAGATCTTATGAAAGATTACCTCATCCCTTTTCCTTGAGACATGTTAAGGCATACATTATGTACAGGTTAGGTTGTTTCTTACTTCCAGATACATCAAGGTCACAAACACATTTACCATATTTATCATTATTTGAGAATGTAACTATAGTTGGTCAATATTCACTAGGAGGGTTTGTGCTAGCATATTTGTATAGAGTTAATTTTATCCACAAAGTCTGCATGCGTTACTATAGCAAAAGGTTTGCACCTAGTACAAGTGTGGCACTGGGAGAGTTGCATATAAGTAGGCCAACTCTCCATCTTCCTAATCCTGGGGTTTTATCTTGGAAGCCAATAGGATTCATGTAAATGCAATGTAAAATAATGTTTTGAATAAATACCGTAAAATGTCACAATAATATGTTGTATAATAATTAGATGGAATGAGGATATAGTACTAATAGTTCCTAGAAGAAATCTATAAATGTATAGAGATGAGATTGATGGACTAAGAGAAGGCTATGCATATTTCATTTTTATTAATAATCTTTACTTTCTTATATATACAATTTATATATTTTATAACAAATAAAATCTGAAATGTCATTTGGGTGCCATATCTTAACGACATTATGGTGTGATTGCCTGAGCTTTACCTAGAGAGTATGAACATATAGACATCTCATGTTCCCCTTATTAGCTGAAAGCTTGTTAAGTGACATCTTCCAGATCGTGTAATGCAGTAGTTTGCTTGTGTACAATCCATATTAATTCAACCTATCAATAGATCATTTCAGAGGGTCGATTGTTGATACAAAAATTAGATTCATTACTGCCAAAATTACACTCATTTATGGAACAACCATCAAGCCCTCATAATACTATTGAACACACGTTTAGGAGACGAAAGTGCAAAATTGACACATCATTTGCAGTTATAAAGGTCTCGGGCATCAATTTACCTAATAGAGTTGCTTGCTCAATCACCATATACTTATTACCCTAGATCATCTCAAGAGAAATTAATGGTGCAGACATAATTTGATATTCAATTTGTGTTTTCTTTTTCTTACAACTCATCTTGATATAATAAATTATAAAATTATATAAGTGGATTACTTTATACGATCAAATGATATTTCTAAGTGATTTACAGGGGCGTGGTAAAAATGCTAGTGCTACGTGCTAAAGTTACAATAAAATCACAATACTTTCAACTTATATTGATTATAGTGTTCGACTGACGGAGTGTACTTCCCAATCAAAGTCTTATGGATCATATGAAGTATCGCAAGGCCACAGAGATCAACTTTTGAGATTGCATGACATTTACCAGCAAAGATTCTAATAAGATCGATCGTAGATGCTTTTTGCAGGCACTATACAGAGATTCATCATTGATGTGCCACATGAGCATGCTTATCCTGACCTCTCAGCATATGCAAGACATTCGTCGTCATACGAGAGTACATCTCATACTCTACAGTGGACTACTTCTGAGGATAACCACTTCAATATAAAGCTTCATATGAGGCCTGATTTCAATGGCCTTATCACCTATTGCCATAATTAAGGCAAAAAAAAAAAAAAAGCTTTAATTTAAAAATACCTTTTAATTAAAATATGATTTTTACCCAAGTTTTACATAAACTTTGTTTGAACCTGCATTTAACCTAAAACTCGGGTAAAAAATGCGTATTGATCCCTTTTATAAAAGTATTATCATGCTTTATTTGATATGGAGTCTTCAATATGGCACATACTTTTATCTTTCTTCTTTCTTTTTTCAATATAGTCCTGATTATTTTATGCCAGCAAGTTTCTGGCCAATGGCTACCTACAAAAAACTGCCAAATGGCCTCACGTTGTGCTTGAATGTGCAGCATATTAATTGAAAATAAAGTGAAAAATTTCAAAGTGTTAGATACAAGCATTAACATTGACAAAGAAAACCCTGCAAAGCTAGTCTGAAAATAGATTTACTAATTTTTAGGGGCAAAATGAACAGTCCTCGGCTCCAAGTTCAGCATAGTTGAGTGTCAAATTTAACAACAGAAATCAACAGTTCTCACCTGCTGGAGTGAGCGCATAAAATACAACCGGGGCGAAGTAGGGAACCTTAGAGAAGGCTTAGAAACGTTCGGTGGCTTGAGAGAAGAGAGCCTTGAAGTCTGTTGTTGGTGTACCACTGCCCTCTGGCTTCGACGCAAGGTCGAATGCCTTAAACTTCGCCTCCTCAAACTGTAAAGCCTGCATTATGTAGACTTCCTTTAATACATATATGTAGCATCATCAATAAGCCCAGGAGTTTATGAATTGTTGCAACTCACCCAGGATGGCCAACCAATTAACCAGGTTCAATAAATTTTGTAGTCTAATCAGCATGGTTAATTTCTATCACAGGATAGAGGTTTATAGTCCTTAGCTATCTAAGAACATAATAGGCTAGACTTAATGACGTATGGCAAGCATGAAACATATATTACCAAAATCCACCAAAAATCCTATAGTATAAATTCTAATCCTGAACATGAGCCACAACGTAAGAAAATGTAAAAATAGAGAATAAGTATTGATGGACCTTCTCCATATACCAAGCAGAACTGCTTCAGAAGTTTAATTTCCCAGAACTAATGCAATATATTGAAAAATTATAAAATAGAGATCACTTTGTTATAGAAGTCTGGTTTATTCAAAAGGTAATCTACGGATTTGAGTAGCAATGTTTAACCCATTTATCTATTTCTCTATGGGAAAGTTGCCCGGTTCACACATTAAGGAAGAGTCTCCTTCTTCTTTGAGATGCGTTCTAATAAGATAGATTTCACCAATTTCGCAGTACAACAAAAGATAATCTAATTCTTCCTCCGACAGCATTCAAAATCAGTAGATTAGAGATCTTAGCAGCAAGAAGGATTGATGTAGACAAATATGAATTGTTCTATAATTAAGACTTCGTTTGGGATCACTTTTGTACATCGTTTTCTGTTTATTATTATTATTTTATTTTACTTATGTTTTGATTTGAATTAAAACATGCTTGATTGTGGTAGTTGTTTTCAAAAACTCTCAAAACATTTTTTAGGTGCTCTTGATGTTTTAAAAATAAGATGATTTCTTTTTTAAAAAAATAATAATAATATATAAAAATTATACTAACTGAATATGTTTTTAAAAAAAAAAATTAAAAAAAAAAACAAAAAATAAAAGTGATGTCAAACAAGCCTAATGTATCTTAAGGGTTATTATCATTGCATTTATTTACTGGTTCATTTTTAATCTGTATATTAATTATCATGGGCAACATATTCATTTGAAGGTTAGAATAAGTCTGGTTGCTTAGACTAAGTTTGATTATGTACACTTGCCTAGACGAATTTACTATAAATATACGTCATGTATAGGCTAGAACATGATTATTAGAATGAAATAATGCTTGGCAAGCTTTTATGTCTAATTAGGCTCTGCTTTGATTTTTCCCTCCTATCTCCCCTCTTCTACCCAACATCTTCAAGGCTTCTATAAATTTTCCACTACGAATTTATACACCTGGAAGCAACCATTAGATTACCCCGGAAGAAAGCAATCTAGAGTGTAGGGATATGTTGAAAACCTACACTGGCCAGAGATTGGATTTCTTTTTGGAAATAAAATGGATTTAGATTTAAGCATCAGATAACTTATAGATGATGCAGTGATTTTAAATTGCAGGTCATTCAAACTCATAAACCAAATTTAGCCAGGTGTCATTTAGCATCTGGATTAAACACGTTTATGGTCTGACATTTTTTCTAATTAGAGTTTTTAGAAAGTAAGCATTTCCATTTAAGCAGCCAAACTAGCAAAATTCTAAGGTCTAAACATAATGATTGTTCAGTCTATAATTAAGGTTGTTAACGATCCGATTTCGAAGCAAACTGGGCTCTGGTCGAAAAAAATTTGATTCAAAATTTTGGCTGGTAGCTCGGTTTGTTTTTTTGATCCGATCTCGATCTGAGCCAAAGTTCTAATAAATTTTCGAGCGATTAACGATTTTCGAGCTAAATTCACTAAATTCCCAACCCTAACATTGGTAGAACTTAAAGATTTGATTTCAAGCTGACCCTCGAACCGAGCTGGGGTCGGCTCAAAATTGGATATAAAAATTTGATCCTAAAGTTCGGCTCGTTTATTTCGATCCGAAGTAAAATTCAAATCAATTTTCAAAATATTAATGATCTTCAAGCTAAATTCACAGTCCAGGACCATAGCTAAAAAACTCATAATTATCAGTTGAGTAAATAGAAAAGCCTTTACTGTTCAAACAAGGAGTCATACCTGTATACAGACTTCAGCAACATCAGCTCTAGCAATTGTTCTGGTTTCGGTTTGAAGGAGTTCGTCATTTTTACCTATAAGAAGCTCTCTCAGGCCCCCATCCTTGTCCTGAAGTCCTCCAGCCCTGTGTCACACAGCAGGAACATTTTGATCATTCGGAGATATTTAGTTAAAAACCTTCATGCACTTTATTTAACAAGCTTCTAATTTTTACACATTGGATCACCTTCTTGTGAAATATTGAATATGAAAATCACCAAAACCCATTTAACAAGAAATATGAAGGATAAATGGGAGTACTTTTTTTAAACTGACAGAAAAAAGAAAACAAAGATGATCATCACTTGAAAGTAGTCAATAACAAAAATTTGTCTTTCACCATTTTTAGAGAACAACGTTACAGTATCCACCAAGAAAAAATAAAAAATAGAGCTCAGACGTCTCAGTTGCATAATTATTTTCATGGGCCATTTACCACACATTTCTTATGTATTTACATACCTAACACCTAAACATTCATTTTACATGCATGCCACTCAAACCTTTTAGCATCACATCAAAATTACCACAATGACAATTTTTTTAAAAGATCAGACGAGAGAGTTTCGTTGAATGACGAATTAACTCGTGACATTAACCAAGTGCATTTTAAAAAGAATATTATCATATTATTAATTTTTATTTTAATATTTTTTTTACTTTGATTGTCGTGTTAGGGTTTAGGGTGAGATATTTGCTTGTTTTGGAAAAATTCAAACTGGAAAGCTGCTTTCAAGTATGAAAAATGCTAACATGATTGGTTCTATTATAAACAACACTATACTACAATGGCTGAAATATCATTTGTTCAGAAACAGTTGCAACACAACTGTTGCAAAACTGCAAAAAATAAATAGACAGTCAGCTATTCCATAGCAGCTTCAGCACAGAAGTTTCCTGGCACAGCTGCTGCACAACAGCTTTTTAATAAGCTGCAGCTGCCCCAAACATACCCTAAGACTAATTAAATACTTTCGTAACTCAAAATTTACTATTAACATTAGAAAATCGACAATAGTGAGTTTAACTTTGAAGTTTTTGTTCGACATAATTGGTTTTGAGAACTTGGTGCGGCAGAGCAGGCAAAAGAAATTAAAGTCACTATGCAATCCATAATCAAAAAATGCAATTAAAGTTTATACTTAAAAAAACATCAGTAACATAATATGATGGTCTGTTTTTGGATGAAAGAGGTGGTTAAAATGTGATTTTTTTTACACGATTGGTATGAATAGGTTCTGATCTTTAATGAAGCTATAATCACACATTCACTCTATATAAAACATATTTATAAAAAAGTTCCATTCAGGAAACAATTTAAAATAATATATGATAACTAACCTTATAATTGTGTATGGTACACCAGAATCCGCCAGATATTGCTCTGCCTTCCGTTTCCACACCTGCAGAAACAAATCTAAATTATAAAACAAGATCATTCTTTAAGGGGTTCTCAAAGCAATTCAATCCATTCATCACATTGCACTAAAACAGTGCTTTTAAAAATATAACAGCATCAATCATGTTTTCTCTCTGGTGAATGTAGCATCTACATAACTTTTACACTTCCTTCAAAAGTCAATGCACACTCTAGAAATTAGTAAAGTGTCAAAATAGTCCCCTTACTATCATTTTAGTCCCATAATATATAAAAGTGTCAAATTAATCCCCCGGATACTTACAATGTGGGTTGACCCATTAAAATTCCAAGGCTTAAATTGACAATTGTTTAGACTTTGGGGCTAAAATGCCCCTCAATAAAGAATTAAGGGACCATGTTGACACTTTTCTCCTTTAGAAATCAATATTTGATTTGATCATCCCAAAAAATTTTTGAACTACCCAATTTTCCCTCACACAATCTTGTTGATTCGCATCTAGTTTTGATTAAAGAAGCAGAAATTCCCTCAAGAAAAATCTAATTTTCTTTTCCGAGTAAAATGAGTTCCAAAATCACCGTGCAAGAACTCTGGATCACATGTAACAGATTTGTTTTTTGAGCTTTCACCAAGCAAGAATTATCTAATCAGCTTCCTAAATCCGTGCTAATTGCAACAAAGCAAGTCTGTTATTCATCTAACAAATACCGAATCTCCACTACTAGAAAAATCCAACTATTCCTCTGTAAGAAGTTTATCCGCCTTTAAAATGAAGCACAAGCTTCATTATGTAGAGCCTAAGCTTTATCATTTCAATTTTATATGATTAAAAATCCTAAAACATATTATGATGATATAAAACAATAAATATTAAAAATGAGTTTTTTTTTTCAAAGCTTACAATACTTAAGTTTTTATCTTTCTCAATAAACGTCATTAATATACTGCTTCAAAGCACATTTAAATGAAGTTAGTTATGTAACATCTTTATATCTTTAAAATAATATTATTGTAATAAACATTTATTACATAGTGTTATCAAAGCGCAATGCACAAGGATTTATTTTTGCTTCAAAGCGCAAAACACATTGCAAAGTGACACTTTTATTAACTATATGGGTTATATAAAACTATTAATGTATAAAAACCATTATTAAGAATTATAAAATATAAAATATGAACTAAAAGTGGATAAAACAATAGAAAAGAATGTGGTGAAATACCTAACTTTAAGACAAACTCTAAAGATGAGCTTGTAAATTAAAATTTCAAACAATTTCTAATTGTTTGCTGCAATAAACTTGCAAATTGTACAAAAAACCCTACAACTCAAAATAAAATCTAAATTTTAAAGCATAAATAAACTAATAAAGTCTCAATTTTGATAAAACAAGTAAAATTAATTCAGTAGCCCTTTATTCCCTCTCGCCAATTTGAGAATCAAACCGACCGCTTTGCTTCAACACTTCAAAGCGTGCTTCAACAAAGTAAAGCAGGCATCATGCAATTCCCTTTGCTTTGCGCATGAATTATGCTTTTAAAAAACATTGATATTACCAAAAAAAGTTTAAAATGTCCACAAGTCACAAATTAAAAACCCATAAATGACAAGTTAAAACTATAACATGGTGTGATTCATTATGAAAAATATTGGAGACTAAAAAAACAGATCTTGTGCTTGGATAAATGGGAAAGAGAATCAGATAAAAAACCCAAAAAGAATGAATATGAATATATATAATATATGGAGGAGGGGTTGAATGGGGTAATGAGGTGAGACTCATGTGCTTTTTGTTCTTAAAAAAAGAAGAAAGACGTACAAGGGAGGAGAGAAAAAGAAAAAGGTAAAAAAAAAATTGTAGTTGGGGAAATATAATATCAAATTTTGAAATATTTCAAGCTAAATGGAAATCCAAAATTTTGCGTGACCATGAATGCAAATGAATCATCATCAAACCATAGAAATATTTTATTCTTTTTTACTCTAATATTGCTCTCATATCGTCAACCTTTTACCACAATAGATATCGAAGCCGAGTATAACATCCTAGAAAAAAAAAATGGGAGTAATTGCAACCGTGCATGAGAAAGTGAAAATTGATAAATTCTACGGTAAAAACTTTAATTATCATAAGAAATATATTGAGAATTATTCATATCAAAGAAGTTGCACACAACTCTTTTTAAGACAACATATAAAATGACTCGAGAAGACTAGGATCTCTTACACAGGCAAGAGTTGGGAGTTGTTCACAATAAGAAAATTACATCTACAGTTATAAATGTTCTGTGAAAAATATAAGAGAAAAAACTATCAATAATGAATGAGATATATGTGATGAAAAAAAAATTTCAATCTCAAGATGAAGGTACTTTTTAGCATAACACATAAGTAGATTCAATATGTTCACAACTCAATTGTTATCCTGCATTCAAACAAATTTGATTCGAACAGTTGCTGCAGTTAACAATCACTATGGATTGGTAAAGCTGAAGCTCAATGACATATATGAACTAATTCTATGATAGAACATGTGAGGGGAAGAATAAGACGGAGGATCTTTTGGCATAAAATGGAAAGCATAGAGAAAACTGAAACGGAATAATAATTTAGGGAAATCTAAATCTCGAAAAAAAAGGCATTATGAGATCTGTAATAAAAGACAATTATTATGGAAATCTTAATCTCGGAAAAAAAAGACCCATTATGAGATCTGTAATAAAAGACAATTATAAGGCTTGTAGCAGTGTATAGCCACAATAAACAAGGAAGCGGGAAAAGGAACGGAGGATAGATATCAATCCAAAATAAAGAATATGTGAAAGTTTCTATTGATCAAATTAGCGATGCATAAATTCTTAATGCAAGTAATCACATGAAATCGTAATGTCCAATTCAAAGTTGCTAATAGGACTACTAGGGAGTTGCACAAAGTGTGACATATATATCAAGCTTGTAGACAATCCCCATCTCCATGGAAGAAGGATAGAATTTAACCTTCATGAATAGAACATCAATGATGACCATGAAAATGCAAAAAATTGTGCTTTATAACAAGGCTGCAAGCACTAAAACAATGGGACTAACTATAGACTTTATTCATGACCGATATATGTAGCATCAAAGAATATGACATAAAATTGAAATGTTTGGAGATGGGTATTTCTAAGGATTCCATATTTGGAGAGAAAATAAAAGTTTCTCGGAGAACAGACAGAAATTCAATGTCAAAAGCTAGAGCCTGAACAAATCGATCTATAGGAGACTTCACCTTCATTGAAGATTCAATGAGGAAGGTATGGATTCTTTTTTGATGAATTAATTTAAAGTATTTACTTGTTTTGAGAATTAAAACAATTACGTATCAAAACCTTATGTAGATTGGTGTAAGAACCAAGTGCCTGAAATTTGATAAAAAGGTTAAAACTATAACAAAAGGTTCAAAGAGTTTTATGCAACTAGTTGTATACAGACTTAGGGGATTGTTCCAAAATACCCAAATAGAAAGGACTTACTGAAGACGTTAACAAATTAACAAATGAAGATCCATGTGGATGGCATGAATTTTGGATTCCCAGACCTTTTGGATTAATATTTCAAGCATAACTAGTTTTCTAGTCACTAGAGGACACTCACATTCTTTTTGTAAAAAATAACTAAAGAAACATGAATTGATAAAGAGAAAAAACATTTCACTAAGGAAATTTTATTGTCTCTCCTACATTCATTTAGACTTTGATAATAGCAATAAACTATTCTAAAAATCTATCAAATGATACTTACTAGACAATATATAGCTTAAGTTATGAACAGATATATGTCAAATTTAGAAAAAGCACATTAATTAATGGCTAAGTGGATTCTATGTTACTTGAAAGGTATGATTAACACCTCATTAATATTTGGCAAAAGGTGACTTGCGATTCTAAGAATTTGTTGATACTGATCTGGGTGGAGATTAGAGTACCAGACAGAGTATAAGAATTAAGAAGGGAAGCAAAAACCTTGGGAGGTATTGCAATTAGTTGCTCATTTCCGTCATAGAAATAGAAGCTCATTACAAAACTTACTAAGGCCAGCAATGAAACTATTGACAAAAGAATTTCTGGCATGAAATAGGGAAATAATATAAACTCCTTCCACTTTATAAATAAGAGAAGTTAGAAATTGTTCAATATTTAGAGAATGAACGTAGAGCTTACGTTACACATGTTTCAGAAAGGATAATAACAATCAACAAAATAACTTTTTTTTTTTTTAATAGCCGAAGTATCTCAGTCTATAGACATCAGTTAAATGCATAAGAAAATGGAATGTAATTTTATGATTGCTAAAAAATAATTACTCACCAATATATTTCCATTCCCTAGACTATTCAAGGGATGATTTAGGTCTGTTCCACCCATAGAACCAACAAGAACAATATGCTTCACCCCAGCAGATGTGGCTGGATGACGAAATAATAAAAAGTTTATTATCCACATCAGTTGGTTAAAAAGTAGAATAAAAATGACAAAGCTTACCAGCATCAATCTGATTTTTCTGGCCGATCCAATCAACCTGAATAACAAAAAAAAAATATATATATATATTGGAAATTTCAACAACAACAACAACAAAAATAAAAAATAAAGAATAAATCACAGATTTGTGAGCTTTCCTGTTCAGGATATGCTCCATCCTCAAAATAAAACTCTGGTCTCCCACCCTGGCTTGGGTCAAATCCTGGCTTCATTTTTGGGACAGCACTAGTAAGGATGATAAGAGCATCTATTCCTTGAACTGTTGGGATAATGCTTTGGGAATCCCTTATATCAGCGACAAAAACATCATCAGCTCCTCCAATTTTCTCTTTGCTCTCCTTCGTCCTCACTAAACCTCTAACAACATATTTATCTGTTCTCTCCTTCAATTTTTTATAAACTATTTGACCTGAAATAAAAAAATATATATTTTTTCATCAAATGATTTATTATACATTTTACAAATGAAAAAAAAGATTCAGGAAGCTGATTCAACTGGTTAAGATAAGCTTGCTGCTGATGATAATTTATAAGATAGAATTGAAGGGGGGTCTAACTTCATGAAGAAATATTCACTCAAGATGTCACAACTCAGCTTATATGCCATCCATATAAATAGGTGAAAATCCTATGATATAACAACCATAGCATGAGCTCAATATGTGGACTACGGTTTTCAAACTTTGCTAACTGAATTGGAAATCAAAGAGTTTGCAGTTAACTAAGAAAAAATGCTCCCTCACAAACCAAAATCAAACTTGATAAGTTCCTTGAATGAAAACCATGATTGTATTTGATAATAAAAACAGTCACGACTATCTTGAAGAATTGATAAAGCACCCATATTCTCGAAATAATGATGCTAAAGAACTAGTCTAAGCTTCATCAAAGTAAATGGTTGATCACAAAAGTTCAAATTTGCTCTCAAGGTTTGTTGGTATTTTAGCTTTTGGTGGAATGACTCATGCTGTTTCACTTTTGTTTACTTTCTAGACTATGCAAGAACTCTTCTAGGTAATGATGCCAAGTGGGTGAGGGGGTGGCCTATGGCGCGGGGGCGGAGCTGTGGATTGTGTTGTGCTTTTCAAAGGGATGAGTGTAACTATAGATCTTGTAATTTTGGTATCTAAGGCCTAATGAATTTGATGTTTAATTGAGCTTGCTAATGGAGATTGAATGGTGGTTGTCAACATTAGCAATTTTATTAAGCTTGTTCTTGGAGTTTGCAGGGGAAGCTGTGAGGATTTCATTAAGGTTGGATTTGATGGAATTGGTTGTGTCAACAACATGCAATGTTCTTTGTTAGATATGGCAAGAATTGATATTGTTGGCGATAGTTGACAATAACTTTATTGATAGAAGTATTGGTGTTAATGACGCTCATAATCTTTATCGATGATAATATTTTATCTCTTATATAAAAATTGGTGTTGATGACGTGCATGATATGTTAAATCTTTTACTTTGACTAATTTATTAATTTTATAATATTTGGGTATTAATATATCACGTTTTAATGTATTATTGGGTTATGATTGTTTGTATGTTATCTCTTATCATATACTTTGAACTTAGTACATTTTTTTTTCATAATTTGTTAATTTTGAAGGTTATGGCTCAAGACTTACACCTCACCACACAAACAAAAATGCCTCACTACCAAATTGAGCAATTTCAAACATTTCATGCAATAATATTGCTGATGTCAGAATTAATGTTAACGAAATGCATTATTTTTGTGATAATGAAGGGGCATATATATTTTATGCCATAATAGGTGACAACGTTATTAGCATTGGTGTAGATGACACGCATCATCCTTATCGGCAATGGCGAGCATTGACATTGTTTGCAATGGCTAGCAACATATTTGTTAGAACAAAGATTGGTTTTAACATTATACATTGACTCTGTTGGCAAAGGCAAGCATTGACAGTGTTAGCAGCAACATGTGACGAACTTTTCGGCAAATAAGTCCCAAATACTTTTATTTCCATTTTTTGGCAGGAAAATGTTAAATTTTTGTTGCAGGTGTGTCATGAGTTTGCGGGGACATGTTAAACTTGTTAGAGTTATATAAAATTGTTAAAACATAAATTGCCATATAAACCTTGAAACACTTGTCTCATATTAATAGTAGAAATCGTTAGTATTTCTTAATGTAACATACCTTAACTATTAAGGATATTATCTCTAACTGTGTTTTTCTTATTTCTCCTTCTCTTGCCGTTATATGGGCATGATTCTACAAGCATTGCAAGTCAATTCAATAGTTTTTTTATGATTCTAACAGCCAATCCAACCCAATACCATAACTTTCACCATTTCAACCAGAGCGATATCGTATCATATATCCACGAAATGAGACCAAAAGCACCAACTTGAAGACCGGACAATTCAAAGTTTCAGCAGACAATCTCAGTCAAAAGTAGTTGAGCATTACACAACAGGTTAATGCTATACAATCAGGAACGAGTTAAGATCCTCTACTACACATTGTCATTTTACTGCTTTCCATTCTTCGGTCGTTGATAAGAGAAACCCTAGACAAGTAACGATGAAAGAGAAAGGGGCTTGTAGATAAAGGATGATACGGCTTACCGGTTCTACCACCAGCGCCGGTGACAAGGACAGTGCTCCGAGCAAGATCCGCCATGGCCGTTGCAGAGAAGGCACCGCAACTCTTGTGCGCTTTCCGCGGAATTCGAAGAGGTCGCGGAAAAAGGCAAGTAGACGTTTTCTCTAGATGGTCGCGGAGGTCTCTGGATAAGGCATTTATAGGAGTGGAAAAAAGCGAGACACGTGTCAGCAGAGAAGTCATATTCCCATGGGCCGGCACGAGTACTGGGTGCGGAGCGGCTGCTACTCAGTTAGGAGCTCGGCAGGCGACTAAATCGCAAGTCGCCGGCGACCGGCTACGGTTGCTCTTGCTTTCACCTTGTTAATGCGAGAGAATAAGAGAGCAGAGTGAGGTCTCATAATCTACTCCATGGCCTTATCTCTAGTGGAGAGTGTAGGTTTTTCTTTCAGTACAAAATCATTCAAATAATCAATTCAATTTAAAATCATAGGGTACAATATGATTGTACTTAAGAAAAATCATACTATGATGTATTCCATTTCATGCTTCAAACATAATATTTTCTTATAAATTAGGAGAAAATATTATGTCTGGAATCCGGACTTAGATTTACGTACTTTATGTTTGGACACCAATTAAATTTAGAAACGTGTCATTGTCTAAAAAGCAGACAAATCTGAAGTCTGACCTGATTCTTATGTACAATATGATTGTATTCGAGATTTTTCTTCAGTACAATCTTATTGTACTAGTAACAAAACATCAAAATAAACAATTCGATGTGAAAATAATAATGTACAATATGGTTGTGCTAAAAAAAAAACTGGAGTACAACCATGTTGTACATGATAATCATTACGAGTTGAGCTTTTCGACCCAATCATAGTGTACAACATGGTTGAACTGGTTGTTTTTCTTCAGTACAATCATGCTGTACTAAATAAAAATCATACAAATAAATAATTCAATGTGAAAGTCATAGTATATTATACAAGATAATTAATATGGGTCGAGTTTCTCCGGTTTTTAGACAATAAAATAATATTTTATATATTTAACACGTGTCAAATTTTAATTGGAGTTAGGACGTAACTCTATGTCTGGACTCCAAATGTAATATTCATTCGTAAACCAGAGAGAAAATATTGCATGCTGATAAGATAAGTACGGGATCCATGGTATTGGCTTGGTATTGATGGTATTGGTTAGTGCTGAGGTGCAATTCCACATGAATACTGCTATTTGTACGTACGTCGAGTGTACACAATATTCTCTTGTAAACTAGTTGGGTCGTGTTCTAGCCTCTACTTTTGCTTGTGCTTCATCTTGAGCTTGATTATAAATTTGATTAAATTTATGGAGTTTGACTTCAAGTTGGAGCTCAAGATTAAGCCTACGAATTTGAGCCGGCTTTATTATAAAAATGAGAAATTGCTATTGATTAAAACTGGCATTATAATAAGATGATACATAGAATGAATAATAATAATAAATCATCTAATATACAATATAAAATAGGGATAATTACAGACATAACACAAGAAACATTGCTTTTTACAAATCAAGCACCAATATCTTAAAGACAAAATCTTAAAATTTAGCATATTTTGAGTATATTTTATATTATCTAATTGAGAGCCCACCTCACGAGCCGCTTATCAAGCGGAGCTCTAGCTGGCTTTTGAATTGGCTTGACTTAGTTACCACCTAATTATGTTGTCGCTCATTGCACGCTGATGCCACCTAATGTCCTTGCTTGCGAGGCCCCAACAATGTAAAGAATATTACATCAAGAGTCCTGATGCAAATCAGGACTGCAATCACAATGTGCCCGTGTACAGTATGGTCTCATTGAATACAGAAAACTAAATAGTTTAATGCATGACGCAACAGGACCGTACACGTGATGCATTATGATTGGAGTCCTCATACAGTTTTGCATCAGGGCTTCTGATGTAATTTTTTTTCCCAACAATGGGCTAGTTTCTAGCATAAGCCTATTCCACTTGTTTAAACAATTAAATAAAATATTTTACTGTTTAAAATTACTTAAAAAATGTATTTATTAAACTCATTAATTTAGTCAATACATGCTGTTATTTTAGATAATTGCATTCATCTATTGAATTTAATTACTTGGTTGGAAAGGTTCAACTAAAGGTAGTATAAGAAGTAGTGGGTATCTTTGTTAATTTCTAACTCAACAATTAGTTATAATTGTATATTTTTAAGAGGATATAATATATTCAAAATATTTTATTAGTTGAAAAGAAGGCTCAAAGTCATTTATAAATAATTAAGCATGTGAAAAATTTAAAATGCTATTGTAGACAAGGTGTTATTAAAATTTAAGATTTCAAGCATGTCATATATGAGACTCAAAAAAATGATCTCTACCATATGAATCAGGGAGCACACAGTTGAACTAAAATTTTTTAACATAATTAATTATAATTATAAATTAAGTTTAAAATATAAGTTTTAATTAATTTTTAGTAATAAATTAAAATTTACCAAACAACATTATCTTGTAATAATTCCTTAACTTTCTTAAAAAATAAGAAATTTTACAAATAATAATTCCTCAAGTGGAGGTAGTTCCACCAGTGAAAGATGCACTTGTTCGAGAAGAAATCAGGGAACTAAACAATGAAGTGGACTACAAAGTATTAGCATAGCATAGAAAGTTACTTACAAAGTTGAGCATTTACGATGCCCTGATATTGTCAAAAGAAATGAGAGAAGCATTGGTAAAAGCCATACTGGATCCTAAGATTTGTTTGGCTCAACTTGGTGGTACTTCTTTAGACGAGGGTTGTTCATTGAAGGAAGAGTCAAAGTATTAATGCTCTCCAAAGTATTAATGGATCACAGTGCATCCATCAATATAAGGAACTTATGAACGTTGGTGTACTTGGACATAGATCCTCGCAAGCTGGAAATCGATAAGATGATGTTAAGACGTTTCAACCAGAAAGGGGGGAGTTCTCTCAATCCAATTACATTATTGATGAAGATTGGCGAATTAGTAACAACTATAAAATTCCATATCATCAATTTTGAGATACCGTTCAATACTCTTCTACGTTGACAATTTATTCATGAGCATAGGATTGTTCATTTTTCTCTACACCAATGCACAAAATATTACTATGAAGTCATATCTTTTTAAACATAATTTCTCAAGTAAATTAAAATAAGTGGTCTCACATATGACTTAACATATGAAATTTTAAAAGTAGGGTGAATAATACATAATATAAATATATTTATTTTCTTATACTTTTAAAATATGACCATTAAAACCAGGTTTGTAACATGCAAGATACATACTTTGAAGTCCTTGGAACCTTAACATAGTCATGCACAAGTTGATTGTAATACAAAAACATGCATTGCTGGCTAAGCTACACTTGCAAGCAATGCTTGTTTAAGTGATACGACCAACAAAGGAGCCACTCACCTTAATGAGTAGGATTTGCCATCAAGGCAAATGGGCGATGCACGCACAACATGCAAAACTCTCTCTCTCTCTCTCTCTCTATATCTTTCTAAGAAATTGGCAATGTTTTAAATAACAAAAAAAAGAAAAACTAAAGAATTTCTCTAGCTATTGTGCTTCTACTCTACTAAAGGTTGAAGAGAGAGAGAGAGAGAGAGAGAGAGAGAGAGAGAAACAAGAATTATAAAGATGATGAAATAAATTGCTTGGGGACATAATAAAGTTCCAGATCTATTTGGGGCAAAATTTTCACTCGTCTTTCAGACCATAACCACATCAGCCATGTTTGACTGCTGTTTTTTTTTTTTTTCCTTGTGTTTCTTTGAAATGTCTATGATAAGTTGCTATCTAACTTGTTTTGAGAAAAGAATGCAAACAAAATATTATTTTTTACCATCATTTTTACGAAAATCTGCAGCTCCCCTAACTGAAACCTTACCTTGAGCGGACTTCAAGTGATGAAAGCAAGCAACGCAATATATATTCTTTATTTTCTTCATGATTGCCATTGAAAAAAATTAAATTTTTGAATGAAAAATGATTTCTTTTTTCCATCTTAACTCATTTAATGACACATTAATCAACTAAATTTACCACTTTCTAAAACTAATCTTGAGAAAATCCACCTCCAACATATGAAAAGAATCCCAAAAAAAAAAAAAAAAAAAAAAAAAAACCAACCACACCATTCTCTGCATTTTCTTAAACACAAAACGACAATCTTTTTCGAAAAATGGAGCCACTTTGCAGCGATACGTTCAACCTCGGATCACACGCTGCTAGCTGGAACTTTCTTCAAGCTTTTCCTTCATGTTTATTAAAATATAGTTCTGCAGTACAGAAAGCTTAAGAACTAAGTAATGCTTACAAATTATATACTTGTTCGTGTTCATAATCTGCTTCGAGTTTGCCGAAGTAAAATACAAAGGGAGTCACGTGTCAGAGATTTATTATTTATGTTCCCGATTGATCTGTCGAGCAAGGAAATTTATGGTTTCAGGTTCTAAGATTATTATAAGCAGTCGTTTATTCCCATTTGCTTCAAATTATTTGGCTGAGTTATTTGTTGTATTTATAATCTGAATTTTATTGTTAGTAATATAAATATAGATTTGAGAATTTTTTATCATCTTTTATAAGTTTTTTTTGGTATACTGGACAATTGTAAATTACACTCTCATGTCATAATTATTCCATACGGAGTAAGTACGCAGTTTTACGTGCGAACTCCAGTAATATAGTGCTATATGTGAGTTTACTGGAATGGAACTGTGGTGGTTATTTGAGAGGGTTATTGGGAGGTTATTGAGAGGTTATTGAAACATTAACTCCAATAACGCTGCAATAAACTCTCCATAAACATCTAATAACCTCTGATAATCTCTGCGGTTCCACTCCAATAACCATCTAATAACTTTCGCGGTTCCATTTCAGTAATCTCTGCATTAACCCTCACAATAACCCCCCAATAACTCTTCAATAATCTCCGTGATTTCACAACAATTCATGTAGCGGCATATTACTGGAGTCCGCACACAGAGCTGCGTTCGTACTCTGAATAGAATAATTTCTCATGATAAATACATTTCATTTACATAATATTCAAACACATGTCTGCAACATGCCAAATCAAAGCATTATAAATGCATTTTGCATGCTTTATCATTAAGTCAACTTCGTCAACCTGCCTTCCTGAAAGGCTTAATTATTATTTGATCCACCATATCTACGCCTATGTTATAAAATTTTGTTGCCTTATCTTATTATTTCATCAAAATAAACCTACACATATACATGCATGCACGCATTTATTCATTCATGGCCATATAAACCACGTCATAAACATAATCTCTTTCGAAGAATGCATACATCAAATGTGTCATAACATCATCATGTATCATGAAGT